ACCCTGGATTATTCAGGATGATCTCGAGAAACAACACCTGGAAGTAGTGTCTAAGCTTCGTGAGCAGTTGGTGAAGTCGTCAGAAAACACAGGCGCTCGAGTCCGCAGTGGAGACCTCGTACAAGACCCTGGTGAAGAAGATGGCAATTCAGAAACGAGACATAGTCCTGGCCCTGAATGTGCCCCTCTACCTTCTGCCGCCCGAGTCATGGCTGTACTCACAAGATCGCGAGCTGAAGAAGCTGATGACGATAAAGTTGCGCCCATGTGACCGCTAGAGTTTCAGGCTGAACGCTGGAGACGGATCAAGGTTCATCAAGAAGAAGACGAGTATCTAGCGGAGATACGGGCGTTCCTGAATGACGACCTGGATAGGTTCTCATCCACGCGCTTGAAGAAGATCAGTAAGGTCGGAGATCTGTTCGTTCTGGATGACCGAGGGGTGTTGTACAGACTTCCACACTCTGTTCGTAGAAGACCACGAGACGCCGTGGATAATCTGAGATTGGTAGTCCCGAGTTCACTCCGGGAAGATATGTTACCTCACGCTCATGAAGATTTCCAAGGTGGACATCAAGGGATCACACTGGCCCGGCATGTATGCGGACGTCCAACATTTGTGAAAAAATGCGTGGATTGTGCCAGCGGAAAAGGGGCGCCCCCGAATGCTGGACCTTCGCCAGGAAACATCGAACCACGGTATCCTTTCGAAGCAGTTTCTATGGATTTCGTGACTCACATGCCCGAGTCAGCCAGGGAAAACACTTTTCTCTTGTTGTTTCAGGACATGTTTTCAGGCTATGTGATGTGCAAGCCCATGTTCCACTACCGCTCAAGATATTGCTGAGGCTTATGAGGAGCAAGTGTTCCATAGATTTGGGGCGTCGTCCATGATACGACACGACCAAGATCCGCGGTTCATGAGTGAAGTGTTGACAAGGTTCCGAAAACTTTTAGGTAGCCGACAACGTGCTACGCTCGGATATCGTCCACAAGCGAATGGGCAACAGGAAACATCCGTACAAACCGTCATTCGGAGTGTTCGGGCATACGTCGCCGAGATGGATCAATCCGACTGGGACGATCACGCTGAGCGACTGATGTTCGCTCTGAATGTTTCGTTCGACGCGACTAGACTGGACACTCCTTTCTATTTGGTTCATGGTTGGGATGCCCGAAGTACGGTCTCGGCAATGTTAGGACCGAAACCTTCGAGCGTTCCTGAGCGTAGCGCCTATGAGTGGCGACGGAAATTACAGCGCGAATACAGCTACGCACTCGCTTGCGCTGAGGATCTCCAGAAGAAGGCTAAGAAAATGCGCTCAGACGAACAAACCCGAAAGTGGTTGGAACTCTCAGAGAGAGTCAAAGCTGGTTTTGAGAAGGGCGACTCCGTTTGGCTGTACATCCCGAAAGTTCAGACTGGATTGAGCCGGAAGTTAGCACACATGTGGCACGGGCCATTCAGGATCGATGAAATTCGGGATGACTTCCTTGTGAAACTGAAGGTGAAAGATACGGAGTACCGTGTTAGCACTTGGGTACACATTAGCCGACTCAAGCCCAGAGTAGTTTTCCCAAAGAGACCAACAGTCGAGGTTGATGTTGCAGAAGATGATGATTTCGATGCGGCGCTTTTGCCTGAAGACAGTTGGGAGCCTGACAGCTCGAATGATGTGTTCGAAGTGGAGTCAGTTCAGGAAGTACTATGGGTGAAACGCACCCGAACTGCGAGACGATCCGGAGAATACCTCGTCAAATGGAAGGGGTATGACGACCCAGAGTGGATTCCGGTGACACAGCTCAATTGTGGATCACTATTGTATGAATTCAACAAAGGAACGAGAGCACGAGCTCGTTTACAGGCGATGCCGGCTGGGGATGATCACCCGAGAGTGTAGTCAACCCGAATGACATTACCCGAACGACGTTTGGACCGTGGAACTATGTGAACCGATTATGATTTTGTTTGATTCGTGATGGAAAAAATTGTGGAGATATTCAGGATGCTGAGTGTGGAATTTACTTGACGACTAAGAGTGTTGAAATGGACACGAAATTGGTGAAGAGTATCGAATGTGGTGTGACGAATAAGAAAGGCAGTGAACTCTGAAGATGTGGACGACAGGTGTATTCTGAATGTTAACGCTAAAGCTCTGACATGCAACATCAAAAATGGTTCTGGAAGAGTCAATTAGTCGAAGTCCGTGGTGACGCGGTTCTTCTGCGATGAGCGTTGTGAACCTTTTAGGAGTTTCAACGGATACTTTTCCGGGAGGTG